GACTGTTTCTTTTCCAGCCGTCAGCTAAAAATGGCAGAAAAGCGATAGAGACAAAACGAATGTGCGGCCAGAAGACTTCAAGAGAATTAGAATTAATTGTAATACAATTAAAGAAGATAGATATTTATAAACAATTTACATTCCATTACAATATTATAATTTTCAATATATTTTTTTTTACATTCCATTTATAAATTGAAATTGGAATAAAAGACCGGTATTGGCCACATGTTCGCTTTTTCTCTTTCTAGAGAGTATAGACTGTCAATTTCATGACAGTATTGCTTAGTCTATTCTATAAGTCTATGATCGTAACATAGGTCAAATCAAAATGCCATTTTATTATATCGGAATTTAATTATAACTAACACATCAGTAATCTATGTAAATTATACTAGTTCTGCCTCAGCCGGAAGATGCTGGTGAATTTGAAACTCTGAACTTTAAAAAAAAACGCTGCGATTTTACTTTTATTCGAGTTTAAATGAGGTGGGGCTTTATAAATTGGTACTCATTTATACACTCCATATGTTTAAGATATATGTATTATCTTTATTATATCGAATAAGAACGCAAAATTAAGTCTTAATCATGATTTGAATTACTTTTTAAATAACAAAATGTCCACAAAAATGTTGTAAGGAAAATGAATGTGATGAAATTAATTGTTGTTGTTTTTTCAACTTCTACTACGTGCCTCGTAAGTCTACGTCAGTTCTAAGTAGAGTAATGCCTAGCTCTTAGTCCCAACGGTCGTAGACAATATATGGAAGAATGTACGTGGTCTCATTTGATATTCATATATTTTAATATAAAATAAGATTTTATGCCGAGGTAAAATTATTTTTTATATTAAAAATATAAGAATATAAAAAAAAGTCCACGTACATTACTTTATATATTGTCTACGACCGTCAGTACTAAGAGCTAGGCGTTACTCTACTTAGAACTTATATCTCCTTGAGACTTATTTTAAAAAGTTGTGAGACGATTCTCAAATATTTTTAACCGACTGCCAAAAGGGAGGAGGCTCTCAATTCATCGGAACCTTTTTTATGTATGTTCACTGATTACTCGAAGACGCCTGAACCAATTTGGATGTTTTTTGTTTCAAAGGGTATATTTTCCAGGTGGTCCCATATAAATTTTGTCGAAATCAGTCGAGCGGTTTTAAAAAAATCAACAATAAATTATTTTTTTAAATAAATTGTTTAATCGAATATGTTGTTAAAAAACTTTCTTCTTACAAATTACCTGCTCATTACGTCTACACTAAAATTTAAAAATAAAAACCTAAAAAAAACCGACTTCCAGGCACTAAAATGTAAAAAATAACTAAACGGGGGTTTTACTTCAGAATAGATACGTAATCAGATATTTTCGAAGTCGGTGCCAGCCTACAATATTTTAAGATATGAATATCTAATAGATAAATATTATTATTTTTTAAGTTTTTATAATACCAAGTAGTTTTATGTAATTTAATAAAACTGAAAAGTTTATTTGTTTCTGATTGAACTCGAATCGAATTGAATCTTTGAACTATCTGTCGGGTATTATAAACCTTTTTTGCATTTGATAGTTCAATTCCTTAGAAAAATTATAAGCTATCTGACATCACGGTACGACTTTTAGGATCGATACAAATATAAATAGACTACTCGATCGGATTCGTGGGGTAAACTAGTATAGTATATAAGTCCTTATGATTTATCTGCTGTTAATTGTTACTTCATAGAATTTTATTCGTATGTAATATTATTTATTTACAATATTTGCCTTCAAACGATAAAAATATATACAAATATTTTAAAATCTAGTACGTTTAATATTTCATGTCCTGTCTCATCAATGTCTAAACCAAAGTTTTTTAACGTTATATCTTACCTTCTTCGTACCATTCAAAACTGTATAATCTATACTAATATTATAAAGAGGAAAGATTTGATTTTTTGTTTGATTGTTTGTTTCATTGTTTTTTTGCTTGTACAGACCCCGAAACTACTAAACCAATTTAATGAAATTTGGTAAAAAAATAGTATGAGATCCTGGAAAGGACATAGAATATGTAGTTTTTTCCCAGAAATCTTAAGAAATCCCTTAAGACGGTGAAAATTCGGATGAAAGTTTGTATGGGGAATCAATATATGATATATTTAATGTATTATATATTTAAATCGTGAGAGAGCTACCAAAGCTTTCTAAATCAAAATTATAAATTTTTTTAAATCAAAATACAGAAATACAGAACAATATTCGTTTCCGCGTGAACCAGCGTGGACAAATGGTATAAGCTGTCAAAAACCGTGGTACTGTGTAAATATTGTATGAGCGCTCAGCTTTGTTTCTGTGTGGTGTGTTTAGAAGGCGTCGGAACATAAAATATGCAGAAAGCCGCGATAAATTGCTTTATCAAGCTTTGCATTAAAGCTTTTATTTTACACAAAGAACTTTTAACAGACTTCAAAAATAAACTGTAAATACACAGTTTGTAGAATTTTATTAATATAAGCGATATCACTATCGATCAGTTGATTTAAGAATAAGGTTTACTCAAATATAGTGGGTTAGATTGCTGGTATGGAAAAATAATTTTATTAATGATAATGTTATTTAGTTTTTTATTTTTTTTTATGTTCTTATAATATTGTTTCACTACACTTGAAAATTTTAATATATTGTAATAATTATATAACCTTGTTGCTTAGACTTTTACCTTTTGTAATATTCAAAGAATATAATACAATTTTCTTTGCATTTCCACTACTTTTGAAGTCGGTTAAATATTTTTATCGAATTAAATCATCTTTAGTTAAACTTTGTTATTATTAATAAAAAAAGCGGCAAACGTGTTGTATTAATTTATTCTAAAGTATAACAGAATACTTTTAAATTAGTTAATTTAAGCTAATTTATAAAAAAAATGATAAACAATTGTTACATTGCATAAATCATAAGGTATAAGTTTCATAAAAAAGTTCAATTTCTAGAATCTATATCGATATATATGTGACTGTAGAATATGACTGAGTCTAAGAACGATGGATTATCAAGTTTATAGTACTGGATGGTAAAAAAACGAAATTTTATTTTTATATAATTATATTCAAAAATTCATTATAATTCCATTAAAACAGACTACTATAAATCTTTGAGAAGATATCAAAATCTTTCTTTTATTCATCACGAACAAAAACTTTTGCTCAGTATCATTTGCTTATCATTTTATTTTATATCTTAATATCTATTATAATAAAATTTATTTCAATCAATCATGTACTCACAATTAATTGTTATAAATAAGTTTATTTAATACAAGTTTTTTCAATTTTAGATATATTCATATTATTTCACGAGATTCTACCCGACTGATATTTTTGAAACTTCAACCCCTTAACCACTAGAGGTGTAACTTCTAAAACTTCATATCTAACTGCAGCCCTGAGATTTATATGCCCAAGAGCCCACTATTTTCGGCAATATTTCCTCGTAAAACTTTTTAGGTCTAGTAATACAATATATTATCAGGTACTTAGTCAGTTTTTACGTTTTGATTTTAGCTAGTAATGTACACCGACTTTAAAATCAAATAGTTCTTCAAAATTACTTTATAAGTAACTAGCATTCATCAAAATCCCTCCAGTGGTGTTTCTGTGATGCGGTAACAGACAGACAGACAAAATTCTAAAAACTATAGATTCGGCTACTGTATCGATAATAATGTTTATTTCAATAAGATTTTCTAAAAAATATTTAATGTACAGAGTCGGCTTAGTTACAATTTTATTATATGTATATATTATTGTTCCGTTAATCGGTATTGTTCTATATGTTTGTGGTATTTTTTATGTAATTGTAGGTATTATAAACTAACTAGTGAGCTGCGCTTCGCTCGGGTACGTCCCTAGGTACGTGCACATAGTGTTGCTACAGTTTAATACGAAGATCTTTTTAAGAGGCATAATTCTGTTTATGTGTTAATACATTATTTTCAAATAACTTTATAAGCTTACGCGGCGCACGCCATTAAAGCCCAGTGGTATATTTTTTTCCGACATCTTTAACAATCATCATCATATTTAAGCCAATTTACACAATTTTTTAATGGATTATATCCAAATCTTCATCATGACTCGCTCCATCTATTGGTAAAGACCGTATGAAAATTCGAGGGGTAGTTTTTGAGTTTATCGCGTTCAGCCAGATAGACGCGGCTGGAGACTTTATAGTATGCAGTGATGAAAAGTCGGTGTACAACTGGCGTAGCTATCGCGAAAATAGAAAAACCATATATGTACGAATGTATGTTTTGTTATCTATACATATAAATAAAATCGAAGTGTCTGTTTGTAATGTCAAAATAACACCTTTTTACTAAATGCACATGGAATTATATGCGGTATTTATAAGAAAAACTTATTTTTTTAAATTTTTTTCTGTCTGTTGGTCTGTCTGTCTCTTTGTTCCGGCTAATCTCCAAAACGGCTGGGCCGATTTTCACGGGACTATCACTGGCAGGTAGTTGATGTTATAAGGAGTAACTTAGGCTACTTTTACTTTAGTAAAAGAATTAGGGTTCCGCTCAAAAAACAAAAAATTACCGAGCCCGAGCGAAGCGAGGGTGAGTCACTTGTGCTTGAATAAAGTTCCTCTTTCTTATTGAGGTTTCTCAAAAATCTAAATAATGGCACTTCAAAATATATTATTATTATTCAAAATATATTACGTGAAGCACTTTACCCTTCAAAAAGTTATGAAAAAAACGAATGCGGGCAAAACCGCGTGAAACAGCTAGATTAAGTTTAGTATTATATGATTTTTTTTTAAATCAGCACTTGTAATATATTATATGCATGCCATTCATCGAACTATTATATTTATATTTTTCTGAGCAAATAGTATTACACTTATTTTGTTATTTAGTTAGTTTATTTGAGTACATGATTGACATAATTATATTATAAATAAGATTGAAAGTGAAAGCAAAGCGCGGTGCATACCTAACTCACCGTCGTGCATTGGATCGATGGTGTGTATCATAAGCTGCAGGAGACCATGTCGGAACTTGGCTGCAGGAGGCGCTTTGCTAGTCCCGGGGGTGGCTGTTACTGTAGCCGTGTTGGTTCCTACTGACGTCTCGCTTGATGTCGTCGCATTCCCATGCTGTAAAGTTAATATTATATTACTAAAGAATTAGAATACTTTTCATACTTAACCCAATTTATTTATTTATTTATTATCATCAATATACATCCAATGCGAATACCTACAATCAAAAAATAAGTCTATCTACAAAAGCGAAATTACTCACTGACTGACTAATTAATGATATAAATCGCAAATACTACTGAATCTAGAGCTTGGTCAGTTAATGTGATATAGGGGGCGATAAATTCACAATTTTAGAGAGAAAATCGAGCAAACGTTAAAGTTTTAAAACCTCTCGCTTATGAAATTTGAAGTAATATATAGTTTATATTATAAATAACTCATGCTTTGACCATAAAAAATTGCGGTATTAAAAATTTATAAAACTTCCATCTTCAAAAGGAACCTATACCATTTGCACCTATTTGCATCTAAATCCTTGATTTTCTAGTAAAATTTTCATTAGAATCGGTTCAGAGCTTTTGAAAATATGATATACAAACAGACAGACAACATCTCTTATCAGTTCTTGAGGTTAATTGTCGTAAAGAAGTCGTATAAAAATAATACAGAACAATATTATTTATTTTTTGTTACAACCTTGTAATAACAATTTCCTGGCTTCGTCCAGTTAGAGTAAGTGTACCTACTTTTTAATTAATATTACAATTCCCGATTAAAGCGGACGCCACCTATCGTACGTTTGATGGTATTATCAGAATTTCTGAGCGTTGCACAATAAATACCTCGTCAAGGTTTCATCACAATCGGTCGAATGGTTTTGGAATAGATTTGATACAAAAAAATAAACACATTTTTGTAGGAATATACTATATGTACTCGTACATTGCTTTAATTGTCATTATATATACCTAAAATAGAGGGAATCTTGATTTGTCCGTTTTTTTATAAACTAGCTTACCTTACCCTACTTACCCTAAATTCATTTTTTTTATCTGTATAGACCTATAGATGTTCTGTAAATAAGAAAAAAGGTGCAGGTACACTTACCTACATAATATTTTTAAAATTAATTTCTAAGTATTTATTTTAAAAATGTTTTTTTTCTAAATAAATTATGGCTAAAAAGCAAACAAAAAATATATAAAAGTCACACCAAAATGAAGTAAATGAGACTTGCTTAGATTTACGCGAATATTTGACATTTTAAAAAGACATCTTTTCGGAGTATTTCGCGTATTTCTTTTGATTTTTGGTTCTGGACGTTTCGAATGCTTTACAGTAATCATGGTCACGGGAGAGACTAAGGTTATAGACGTGTCAAAAATATTTCAAAAATTCAAATATGACACCAAAGTACCTTACAATATTTGTCGATTTTTATTTATAAACATTTAAAAAAAATATAATAAGTGTTATAATGAAATATACCCATTTATGAAATAATTTTTGTAAAATAGTATGTAGGCACTATCTGTAAAAAGTATATAACGCATTCGAGACGTCTATAACATTAGTCTCTCCCGTGACCATAATTGCTGTAAAGTATTGGAAACGTCGGTAACCAAAAATCAAAATAAATCCGCAATATAATCCAAAAAGATAGTTTTATTTAAAAAGTAAATGAGAGTTAAAACTTTAAACTTCATATAACAGGCAGAGCGTTGTTAATTATTCGTAGCATTATTTATATAAAAAGCTGTTCATTATTGTTATATAACTGTTTTAATTATCTTAAAGACTGTGCCTTTGTTCCGTGCAGACAACAATGGTTTTAAAACAATGCCCTCTTCGAAGAGCTTAGTCGTCACGAAAGAGTTGCTACTTGTGTACGAATAGAACAGAACTAAATATAGATATATCACGTGGTTTCATTTTAAAATATTGACCATCCACATCTCATGACCTTTCCATTTTAAAAGATTTTTTATAATTTAAATTCAGAATTTTACCTATATTTAAAAGTTTTAAATGTTTTTTGGTATGACCACCCTATATCATAAAATTTGTTATAAAATTATCAACATTTTGATACTTCGTAATTGGTGCGTTCCGGGAATACGATACGAGCAATTTTCTAATTTAATTTACTTGTTTATACCCGTATGTCAAGTAATGTGTTCCAAAAGACCGCCAAACGTATGATGGTATTTTCTATAAGTTTTTTACTTTCGATTGATGCTTATTTACCACAGGAAAAGAGTTAATGTACTTAAAAAAAAAAGATTTTAATGCATTTTAACTCTGGGTATATGATATAAAAGCTTGTTTTTAAAAATGTTTTTTTTTTAATTTTAATTTTTTTAATCCATTTTTATGAATTATTGAATAATTACACTGTCTAATTGTATTGAAAACTCTATCGTAAAACTCTATCTATGGTTTTGGGACTACGTGACTGATTGCGATGTCAAAAGACGAGGGCGATGAAAGCTATGAAATTCAAAAAATATTTTGAAAACACTCATAAGCTTTCTTTTAATTTTAAAGTGTTTTTAAAATGTTGAAAATTTTTTTAAGTTATGTGCAATTTCATTATAGTTACGTAAATATACAGATAAAAATCCAAAAGAAGAAGTTGTAAAGAGTGAGTGTTCATTAATTTTTTACTTCCAATAAGCACATTGAAAATTTCAATTACTTTCTTTATAGTCATTTCACATTCGTATCACCACTTAACCGTGACCTCAATCTTATGTGACAGTTACTGAGAGCTTGTATCTTCAGATCTTCGGAGTTTTTTCCCTAAATAAAATTATTCGTAGTTCATTCCATAAAAAAATTTGTCCGCGGCTTCGCTCTCATTGCAAGCTTATCCGGCTTCTGAATCAATCAATCTATAATACTTTCTTAGATTTACGCGAATATTTGACATTTTAATTAAAACTTTTTCATTTCAATTAAAAATTTCGATTTTTTTTTACACAACCACAACCAATTAAAATGAAAATATGTGTGTCATAGATTCTTACTGTTCTAAAAGGTAGATTACTCTATCTTTTTAAGATTAATTTTTTTAACTATTTTTAATCACATTAGTGGATTAAAAAATTACATAGCATCATCTCACTGCCTATTTTTTAAAACGACCAATTTATCGATACTTTAAAAAAAATGTTTATTTTTTTCTGACCGAAACCGATCGAAAGCGGCCGCATTTTTCACATTTTTTTCAATAAAAAAAATAGGTTTTGAGAACACTTCTCAAAATATTTTTTGCACTTTGTAGCCCTCTTTGAGACGCGTCTTTTGACATCGCAATCAGCCACGTAGTCCCAAAACGATAGATAGAGTTTTACGATAGAGTTTTAAATACTCTAGATTAGACATTTTAAAGTACTCAATAATTCATGAAAATTGATTAAATAAATTAATATTAAAAAACATTTTTAAAAACAAGCTTTATAATATAAATTGATTTATAATGCTTTATATATAGCTTTATAATAATATTTATAATTAATATATAATATAAATTGTGTAATGTAATAAATGGGTTCAATTTAATTTAAAGTTTATTTATTCTGTTTTAGGTATTTATTCTTAATCTTCTGAGTAAACCTTTCATTTGATATCCACATCATGGGGGTGCATAAAAAAGCATAGTCCGCCAGTGTTGGGAATCCGCGCTTGTGGGATTTGAGAATGATGAATTATCTAACCATGCTTTGTCATTTAAACTAAACGTGTATACAAAATTTAAGCTCAATCGGTTGACGATAGTTTTAAAATTCAGTTGCAAGATTTGATCCGAACAAACATACATACAAACACTGCAAGTTATATAACAGCTTGTAAAATTAACTAAGAATATACATTTAAAACTGTAGGCATCTGACGCATTCAAGGGTAAATGCTGCTTAATTTCATTGTAATAAGTATTTTATGCTTTTATGTTTACATACTTTTTTATTTACTTGTACATATTTACTTCATTTAAACACCACTAAATAGAAACATTCAATTTTGTAAATAAAATGTTAAAAGTATCCAAAAAAGAACCGAATAAAAAAATATTTTTTAGTTATCCACAAAATTTAACTAAAAAATAATAAAGTAGGTACTAGCATACCAATAAAAGCGAATGAAAATATATTTAACAGATCTCTACTTTTAATCGTTTTCATAATGGCAAGTGAAGTTAATGTACTTTTCAAACAAAATCGTTTTCATTTGTTCAAAAGAAGTTACACCGTATTGGAGTCCCTTGTGGGTGGTTAGCATGCCAGCCGCGGGCAAGTTAAATGTTGGACTTACGTGATTTGTGCCACGGAAATACATAAGTTTGTGCTATTTACTTATACTTTACTTGTATTGGTTACTGAAGTATGTGGGTTCGATTCTGAACGAAATTAATATTCCGATATATCATTATTTGCATGATACAAAAGACCAATTAGACCGTTCAATATACCAGAATATAAAGTAACCTGGTCCACTCGCTCTTGATATAAAATCACATGTGTTGATGATCCTTTGCTTCATTTTTGCATTTCTACATTAGTATTTACAGAAAAAAATATAATATAAATATATAATTACAACAACAGACAACAAGTTTGGTTGTTTGTAGTGACCCTACTTGCTGCGTCAGCGGTCGCGGGTTCGAGTCCCGCTGGAGGTTTGTACTCCAGTCATGGGTGTTTATATTTATAATATGTATGCATTTAAAGTCACATAATATGTGTAGTATATCAACTATCTGGTATCCATAACACAAGCTTCGTACCTTGCCATGGAACTAGATGGAGCTGTGTGTTTATGTCCCAACACATTTATTTATATATATTGTTATATATAGGATTTGTTTGAGAAAACATTTATTTTGAAAGGAATACTTTGGGTGGAATTATTATTATGTTAAATGATTTTCACGTCAAAAGCTTTTTAGAAAACGAACGGTAGGTACATTAAATTAGCGCACATTTAATGGAACTCAACTGATTTAATCAAAGTCCATGAATCACTTAAAATTCAATATAAATACATTTCAAAACACAAAACCAACTCGATAGGAAAGCCAATAAATTATATTCAATTAAGGATCGAGTAGAAAATTTTAAGCACATTGCTAAGATGTTGGGAGAATTTTTCTAATTGCTTCATAAGGGTCATTAAATGTTAACGATCAAAGTCAATCTTTTTAAATAAAATCTGGAAACCAGCCAGCTCTTGTACAAAATGGTTATAGAGTTACGAAGATAAAATAGCTCGAAACGTGCACCGAAGTACGAAAATCGTTAGGATCTGGGATATTTTGTATGCTGTGACATTAAATAGTGTTTTAAATAACAGTATCTAATCGGATCTTTTCGCGGATTTATTTTGATTTTTGGTTATATTTTGGTTTGGTTTCGAATGCTTTACAGCAATTATGGTCATGGGAGAGACAGATTATTTTTAAGTTGTGACTAAATATAGGGACTTATTGGGTATTTGGTTGTCTATATATAT